CGGCAGCCAGAATGGCCAAAGGCAAGGAGGACGACGGCGACCAGCCCGACGGGCGGAGCTGGGGCTGACGGGGGCCGGGAAAACCAAAAAAACGCTCAAACGGAGGACTCTTGGAGTTTAATGGCTCGGAGTGAACCCATAGCTGTTAATTCAGTTAGAACCAGCTCCTTTCTGGAATCAACAAATCCTACCCTCCACCCACATCTTCTCATCCAGCAGTAAGGCAACTGTGACAAGGTCTTTAGATCTCCACGCGAGGTCATGGCCGTAGGGTAGGCTAAAGTAAGCTAAGCAAGTAAGGGGTAGCTAGTTTCTTAACGCATTATGTTTAAAACCAAAGTCCCGCAACCCTTTTCCTTGAAGAAGGCCGAGCCTTAAAAATTTGGTTCGTAGATTGTTCGGTGAATTCGGTTTGTACGTTCAGCTAGTCGTTGCCGAGTGAATAGTAGTGATCAAACACGATCAAACCCAAGATGGCTAGCGGCCAGAGATTAAAGGGACAATAGACCAAGTAGTGTGGTGGGAAGTTTAGAGGAAGTGGCTAGACCTGGGCTTGACTCAAATGAATGACATTGATGTTTCGTTGAGTGCACAAGTCTTGGTGACCCAAAAGAAATCCAGAAGGTCACCGAACCCAAGTATAGATCTTAGTAGATTTTCCTTGTGGAACCTTCAGGAGCCCCCGGAGTGGTCTATGTAGGGACCACCGTGAGATTACCCACACCTTTCCAACCGACCATGTCACTTGTCATTAGACCCATACTTCCTCAGTCACCGAACCGAAGTAAATAAAGATCTTAGTAGATTTTCCTTGTGGAACGTTCAGGACCCCAGGGCGCGTGGTCTATGTAGGGACCACGGTGCGGGTGCTACGCGTCCGCACGTTGGGGCTGCCTCGCCGCGTGAGCCCCAGATACCCCCGGCCATGCGCTTGCGCATGCGCCCGCTTTTCCCGGGGTCTTGTGAGCGGACCGGTCTCCAGAGTGCTGCAGGATGCCGCTGCAAGATGTCCATGGCTGTGTGCTGTTTGAAGCTTGGGTGCTGCTGCCGCTGCAGGATGCAGCTATCAGATGCGTATGTGTGCGCTTTGCAGCCCGGGTGCTGGTGCCCCTGCGTGGTGACTGCCGGGTGTATGGCCGTGTGCGCGTTGGAGCTTGGATGTTGGTGCCTTTGCTAGAACACGTTTGCTTCGGTGTTGCCCACTATTTGTATGCTGGCCGCGGGCGGAACCGAGCTCAGGTCGGACATTATATGCACCAAGGCTGCCGACCATTTTGGTGAGACCTTTGAAAATGTCAAATTGTGGGGTTTCCCCTCCGTCCCCGGTGCTGGACAGGAAGCGGCCGACTAGGCGCTGACCGACGGGAATGTGTGGGAGGTGTAAAGAGGTCTACAGGTTCTTTGCGCCCCAAAGGTTGTGGGTCTTTGGTGTGGAAACATGTCGTTCAGTTCAGCGCAATTTTTACACCTAATGAAGAGTATTCACACCACGTGGCTTAACAGGAATTGCTACGATGCATTTGGAATGTTGACGGTCTAGCTTCTCATGTGCGCCGGCATTTTTGAATCAAGAACAGTCTTTTCACTTCGAACAAAGAAAACCCACAAACAAACCAAAAGACTGTTATATAGCATGCTACGGACCTGTTCACAGGCATTCAACTTTGTCTCTTATATTATTTTCTGCAAAAACGTCTACCTCCCTGGTGAGGCATGGATTTCAAGAGCGCGTCCGGGCCTTGGGAGCTGGCTAAGTCCGGTGGACACTTCCAGGAGTCTTGGTGGGCTTGAGGGGCCCGCCATTAAAGGACACTCAAATGGGGTTTTTGTATCAGTCTTGTCCTGGTTTTGCTTAATAAAGATGATCGTTATTTTCCCTATGGTTACATAAATTCCCATCCGTTTTTTTTCCAAGTTCCTGAAGCAAATCTAAGTTGTTGGGTTTCCAATGGCTGTTGACTCAGTGTTTTGTCCCCGTGTGCCGACGCATCCAATGCAGCCAACAAAGCAAAGTGGTGAACACGCCCATGGAACTTGTGGATCCTTGGAATGATAAAGATCCTTTGGATGAGGAACTTTTCATCCGCCACAAGGCCCATCAGCCTCCAGACGTGCAATTTGATCGTTTTGCGCGACCGGCTGAGATCGCAAAGCTGCTTCCGAGAAGGGTTCACCTACAAGTTCTGCTGCGATCGCGCTAAGCCCAGAGGCAGGAACTGGGCACGACAAGGTGGTGGTTTGGTTTTCCTGTTGGGCATGGTTTTGTTGTGACGAGAACAAGGCGGTTCTTGTTCAAGACAAGGGCGGTTTTTGAATGATCCAAACGTCGATGTTCTGATCAGGATGGATCTTCCGCTGCTGCCATGCTTTGGACCCCCTAGCCCCACGAGAAATGCCGCCATGCCTGTGCTGGGGACGGCCCATTGCTTGGTGCATCGTGTTGCGAGTGACGGGTGTCATGGATCGACCACTTCATGGCTGGACTGAGTGTTCACGTTCCTCTCATCTTGTTGGTCCCAGCGGAGTGTCCGCACTCATTCCTGTCCGCCCGATGCGAGCGGACGATGACGGACGACGGACGATGTCGTCCACGGATGCGCACGGATCCTCGGTCAGGGGAGCCCAGCTGTTGGGTGACTTGGCGGCACAGGACGAGGCGAGGCAGTCGGACAGCTCCGGCAAGGGACCGGACGCGGGAGGGACAGGACAGCAGGTTGCGGAGGATTCGAGCCTCGGCGGCCGGCGGCCTGTCATGAGTCTCTTCTATTTGGAACTTGCGAGTCTGTTGTTGATCCCTTTTTGTCAGTCTTCACGGGCGGCAAGTCGTCTGCTGGTCTTGGGTCTTGGACTCAAGGTGTCAACACCAGGCTCCCAGCAAAACTTGTCATTTCTCTGGTTCCAGTCCAAACATTTTGTGCGATTCGCTCTTCGGTGTGTTGAGGTCCCCCAAGCTCCCTGTCGCGCCCTGCGACGCGGCACCTGGCCTCTCCCGAGGATCAAGACTTCACGTTCGAAGACTGCTGCCAGTTGCCTCTGGTGGGCCCTGCCGGCGCCGTCTTTGAGGACGTTCACGCGGCTGTTCACACGCGGGGATGCATGCGGGGGTCAAAGCGGTTTTCTGGCCCCAGGGTGGAGAAGTCTTGCATGTTGAGGGTGGGTATATGAATTATATAACTTGACATCAAAAGCAGCTAAGTTTAGACCAACTTGCAATCAGAAGCACATCCGTGAGATCACAGCTCAGATTCTCTTTTATATTCTTGCACTCGAAGTCTCCATTCTTGACAACCTCAGGATGTGAACTGCGAGCGCGCCGGTTACAGCGCCACGAGTTCAGGCGCGGGAATGAAGTGGCGGTTCTTCCGCCTTCGGAAGAAGAAAATACAAGAAGCACATCGGGGATGGAAGTGAAAGTGAGAAATCTGTTTCGGTTCACAGTTGGTTCCCCAGACTCGTTCAGGGTTTCACGATGATGTGGCTCCATTACCTTGCCACGCTCGGGTGCGGAACTGCCTTCAGAGCCGTGGATGATGCCAGGCCGTACGACCGGCACATGGCCCTGGCTGCGGGCGGAACTCCAAAGGCGGGAGGGCGGAGAATCCTGGTGCTTGGACCAATGTGAAATCACTGTTGTCCTCCAGCCCACGAGTGGTGCAAATGAGTGGTGCATTCCCGTCTCCAAAAACGCGCCCGTAAAGTGTCGAACAACGCAAGCGTCCCGCCAGTCCGCCATCGTGGGGGTGTCGTGGTGTTTTGGCGGCCGTCACCTGGTGCGGTGCGAGGCTCTCGGAAGCGTTCGCGCTGGGCCAGTTCCCTCAGGACGGGGCTCCGTCAGACGGAGAGACGGAGAGACGACGCGATGGTTCCGTGAGGTATGGACAACTCCAAGATGATGTATCAATGAAGGGGGGGTGTTTACAATCCAAATGAGGGGGGGAGTGCATTCATCAAGAGCCTGCAGCCTATTACATCCTCCCTTTCTTTGAATTGGGTGTTGGAAGGCCACGAGTGTCGGGCGACCGAGATGCAGATGCAAGGACCTCTCCGATCTGAGGAGGTTGGCGTAGGCTAAGCCAAGGCTCCGATCCGTCCGTGATGCCGCCAAGCCTTCGCCAGAGAAATGCGATGGAAGCGAAGCCTGCCTCGTTGCACATCAGACATGCCCAAGTGGATGGTCTATACGGGACACCCATTTATGGTTGTGGCTTTAGGGCGCCACTCCATTGCATCAGCCATGCTCGTGGACACCCCGGGCCACCTCTTTTTTCTGGGGTCATCATTAGACAGGCCATTCGCAGTGAACCATCCGTCGGACGTGTCGAGGAGTGCCATGAAAAGCCATGGCACGAAATGGTGGATACCATGCGGAAAGAGGATTATGTAATCAGTTTACTAGGGTGGAGGCCAGTAGGTTGGAGGCCATCGCTATTAGTTAAGTTTTCTAAAGCTTCCAATTGGAACGCCGTCATTTGGAGGAGGTTGTGAACATGGAGCCCTGACAAGCAAGCAAGGTCTTTCGGGGAGCCTCTCTTTGGTTTCCGGCGAGGGGGTCTGAGGCAGAAAATAGTACGTGGATCGGTAATCCAAGAGGAAGGACCGCCGTTTTCTAAGAGAACAAAACAAGCTCCCCTGAGCAAAGACACAATCTTACTGCAGGAGATTGCACCTTTGTGAGCAATGTCATGGGTGCGTGACATTGCACTCATTGCACTCATCCCAGAATATCCCAGACCCGTGTCGGTATGGCTTGTTCAATACAAAGCTACCTGAACAAAGCTGAAAGAACAGACAACTCACACTGAATGGGTCGGATTGTTTGGGGTCCTCTCCTCCTCTTTGCCCCCAAAAAGGCACCGAGCTCCGGTGGTTCCGAGCTCCCCGACCGGCTGGGCCGCTGGGCCCCCAACTCGCCGGCCGCGCCGCAGGACGCCGCGCGCCGCTGGCTGCGGCGCCTGCATGGGCCTAGTGGGGTGGCTGCGACGCGCGTGGGCGGATGCAGCATGGGGCAGTTGACGTTGGCAGTGTCTCGGTTGAATCTCAGGATGGGGTGGGAGTGGAGTGGAGTGGATTTTTTGGGGGTCTAGGATGGTACAGTGGATCCTGAGCGAAGCCTGGTGTCCAGTTCTTTTTTCTGCTTCTGCTTGGGGATGACTCCTTGCTGCAAAGAGAGCAGCGGCAATATTTTATTTCTTCCGCAAGGGTGAAAGCAGGGCGCTTTCTTGATTCCTTGTTTTAAAGCTTGTTTGAGGTTTTTTATCATTGCGACTGCAACGTTCCAAGCTGCCAGCTGCCATGAAGCTTTCTTGCAAGCAAAAGATATCCAGAATCCAGAAAGAATTCCTTGAACCGGGGCTCAACAACACGTTATGTTGGAAGGAAACCAACACTTCAATTGGTGTCCCTCTGATCTGGCTGCTTTTGCCAAAGAAAGCAACTCGCAGACTTGAGATTGCTTCGTACCCTTGTCTTCCATTCGGAAATCCTACTCTGCAGTTGGGGAAAAAGAGAAGCAGAACAGTGAAACGGCCTTTTACATCCGTTCCATCGCTCTGTTCGCTGAACATTCGGAACGTCAACTGGCAGGTGGCTCGCGTCCTGCTTTGTCTCCTCGCGGGTGACCGTGACTGTCAGAAGCATTGGGACCAAGCAGCACAGGCGCAGTGGTGACATGTGTGGTGACATGGAGCGAGGGCAGATGCCTTGGTCACCGCTGATGAGGAGGAGAACCACTCTTGCTTTTGAGGTTAAGGACGTGCAGTATCCAACGTTTATTCTGAAGAACGATTTGCACCCTAAGGAATCCCCCTAAGATTGCTTTTGGAACTTGAGTGAGCTTCCCGTTCAATGGTAGGCGCCCCGGTAGGGATAGACTCTGGTAGACATCCCAACACTCCTAGTGCTTTCGCCAGCCTTCATCAGCACCCATCAGTCGCCAGCTCACACTCTTGAGTCCTCCACCCGAACCGAAACCACTCATCGACTGGTGTCTCTAAACCCGTCGTTCTTCGTCCTCGTTGCCGTCGTCAGGCCTTCCGACTGGATCGCTTGGACCTGGTGCTTTGGTCCGCTTCGGCTTGGCCGGTCACCGACCTGCTGCGCCCCTTGACCAGGCGCGTGCGGAGGGAAGCCGCGTAGATGCCCGGTGGGCGAAGGAAGGAGGGGTTCCGGTGGGACCGCAGGGCGATGAAACATCTTGAGGTTCCTTTTTTCTATGTGCTTTTTGGAGGGACATATTGAGCCTATAACACGGTGGTGATGGTGCCGCATGCTGCCGCGGTGTGTTTTTATCTTTTCTTTTTTCAGCAGCTAAGCAATGGAGTTTTTGCGGTTGGGCCCATTTCCAAGTTCGACTGGTGAGGTTTAGTTTAGTCCCACAAGCGGACGACATCTCATTCTTTTGCTATATGAGTAGACAGACATCCCCAGTTGATGGCTCTTGGCCAAAGAGGGTTTTTGCTGCTTGATCTAGCTATACTACAGATGACTACATAAAGAGACTACAGAAATGTCAGCCACTCTCCAACAACCCTCATCACTGATCACCACCCAAGCTGTTTTCACGTGGGAAAGGCGCCTGAAGATCTTGTGTCTGAGTCTGGGGCGGTTCAAAACGTTTGTGTCCAGGATGGTAGCACATGAAGAGATGGATGCAGCTTGCCTCGAGGCGAGAGGCTTGATTCACTTGCCAACACTTGCGAAGCTACAAGATGCCAGTTTTGTCCAAGGAAGCAACGACACAAAACATCTGTTTCTTTTTCGTTCGTTTCGAGAGGTGCTCCACATGTCTTCTTGGCACGTCCTGTGTACGTCGCTGCGAGACTTGCACTGATTCGATCTGTGCCAAGTGGCGAAGGGTTGATGAGGGCGATGTTTGCACTCATGCGTTGGCCGAGCCGAGTGAAACCTCATATGAAAGGGTCGACGATCCATTGAACAGTCAGTATGATTGGCACATTCACTTTGCAACTTGGTTCTTGGTGAGTGGTACCACACTTCGCTGTCAGTGTCTTTTTTTCCCCATGTCAATTGGCGTCGGATCGCCGCGCGAAGCCCCGTATCCCGACCCGTCCCGGCACGCTGTATCGGTGGGAGAGGCGGATCCGATGATGGATTGGTGTCAGCCTGAGACTGCAACATGAATGAGGATGAGGGGCTGCTAGGGGTTGGTGCAGACCTAGTGAATGACCAGCAGATGAAGCTAGCAGAGGTCCTGAAGTGAAGGGACATTCAGCAATCATGTTTGGTGGTGAACCACTGGTGACCAATGGCTCAGCATGCTGGCTCAGCCTTCTATTTTTCGGTCCATGAACTATTTGGGAGAGGTCCATGAACTTTTTCGCTTTTGATTGAGAAGAAAGACTTCTCCATCCCCCTGCCAGAGCCCTTACAAGGCTCCGAGTCACTCACACCGCCCCGCCGACTCACCGGGGTCCGTGGCGACTGGAAGAGAAGACGATTGTCTCGGATCTGCACACTTTCCGGGGGGTTCCGGGTGCATTGAAGGTAGCACACGAGCCGTTGACACACACACTTTGCGGCAAGACCCGGGTGGGCAAAACGCCGAGCGGAGTGGAGCCGCCGCCCCGAGGCCCTTGGCCTTCCGCGCCGCGCGGAACCTGCCGGACGACGAGCTGCAACACCAGGTGTGGAGGCCACCCATCGGGTCGAGACCGTGCGCGCGCGCGTGCGCGAAGAGGACGGTGGTGAGTGGTTGGTTTTTCTTTTTTCTTTCCGGACGGGAGAGGAGTGTAGATTGGTAGTTTGGAATATAAAATTGGTAGTGTGTGGATGGCAAGATGTGTGTAGATCCAATGCTTCAACCGTTTACGGCCGGTTTTTGATTAGGGATCCTTTCCAGTCAAAGATCCCGGTCGATGTCAAGGATTTCACCAACCATCAAGCATCATCAAGCATCAAGCATCATCAAGCATCATCAAGCATCACAGTGAGTTCTCCACATATTTTTTTTTTTCTGTGGTCAATGGTGATCAGTGATGATCCTGGCTTTCACGATCGCGGTCCCACACCGTGGCTGTCGACAGACGAGTTCCACGGTTTCGCTGCACCAGGATGATCTCCGCAGACGAGGCGTTTGGCGTGTCTGGCGTGGCGTGTCTGGCGTGTCTGTCGCCGTGGTGAAGCGGGTTGGATGGAAGAGATAGATCGTCAACGTGTGCGGCGTTTGCCAAGCTCTAAATGCCGGAGGTGTTGAGGTTGGAAAAGAGTATAGGGGCGGCTCAAGAGAGACTCAAAACGACGTCGATCCAGCAAGACACGCCGTCGGCGGGGGGGCAGGTGTCCATCCAGGCTTTGCTGTCCAGCAGATGCCGCGCCGGTGCCCAGTGGGCCACGCTCGTCAAGCTGGGCTTCTGTCACTCTGCAGCGAGTTCGCGGCCGAGCGTTCGCCGCCGGGGTGGCCGAGTTGAAGACGAAGAGTGCGAGTTCCACGACCGAAGTCCGTCCTAAAGAGGTCAAAAGGATTTATGCATAGAAAGAATCTGTATTGGTTGGGCGGGAATCTAGAAGTACATCAATTAAACAACTTGAATCGTGTAAAGGCACCTGTCTATGTACATATAAATCAGCGGTAGCCAGCAACAGCATTCACTTGATCCTGCCGCTCTTGGTGCGGGATGTCCTTTGACACGCCTTCAATCCATATGCCATCAATGGCTTATCCTTCGGAATTGGTTGCGTAGTGACCTTCACAAAACCAAGAGAGGTTAAGTGACCTTATAGGACCTTACTGGGGTACCTAACTGGGATAGTCTATAGTAACTATAGTATTATAGGGTTCTTCAACCTCTGTTGGAAGAGGGGAGCCCTTCGACACGTACGACCTCGCCAGATTCGTTGCCTCCCTCTGGCACGGCCAGCGGTGTCCGTTCCGCGGGTCTGCCTCCCGCTCGAGAGCTCTCGGTGTCTCCTCCGGTCTCGGATCCTACGAGATCCCAGTTCTGAAGATCCGGTGCCAAGTGCCACGAAGAAGCAAAGCGACCCGTGCCAAAGCGACCCAGTGCCAGTCGAACCGTGCCGGGGCAGTTTTTGAAACCGTCCACCAGTCGACGGTTTTAACGGTGGCCGCGACGTGGAACACGCACCAGTCATTTGTTGCACGCGACCACTTTCAGTAATTGAACTTCAATGCAGTTTCCACATCCTGGACATTTCTCTTTGACACTTCCTTTAAATGCTCATTTTCACAAGATTTCTCATCAACGTTGTGCAACCTCACGAGGGTAGCTTTTGCAAAGGCAAGGGTGTTTGTGATCCGTATTGAAACCAGACTTCTTGTGGGACCAGCAGGTTATGTTTTGGCACCTAGGCATGGATATGGCACCCAATTGCGTCAAATCGCATGTCTTTGCGCTGGAGTTCATCATGTGCCTTGCCGATCAACTGTGTTCATCGCAGCGCAGCTTAGCGTCGTTTTCTTGTGTGTCTCAGGTGCAATGCGAAGTGCGTGTTGCAAAATTGATCTTCTTCGGCTCATCCAAGTTGTCACACCTAAGTCGTCTACAGAAGATCGGCCGGCCCGAGCTGCGATCGCCCAGATCGCCCCTTTTCTTTGTGCGATCGGCTGTTGAACTGTAAAGAAGGCAAACAATATGCGTGTCTTGGGAGATCTCCCCTGCACCTGCGTGTGGTAAAACGCCCCCTGTTTGGTTTCGACAAATGGTGCATCTTGACACATGTACTTTGTAAGAGTCTCAGAGCTTGAAGTATCACGGAATGTCCCAGTTGAAATCTTCTCCAACTGCTTCAGATCACCCTACCACCTGCTTCAGAGATTTCCAGTTGACATCTTCCAGAAAAGAACACAACAAACTTCCCAAGTTAAACCATTCTCCTTAACAAGAAGCCAACCGTTGTTCCGCCCACATCCCGTGCCTTCGCGCGCTCCCGGGGCGCGGGCGGGCGCGCCCCAATCCACACAGGCGCGAGGCGGCCACCGGCGGCGGGCTGCGCCGCTGGATGGCCGAGGCCGGCGCCTGGCGCTTGCCACTCGGTGAAGGAGACCGGTGGATCGGTCCGTCGGAGGTGGCGGGCCTCCCGGTGGAGGTCGGTTCAGGAGGGACCGAGGACGGATCTCGAGAGGTCTGCGCTGGGTTGGATGGGTTGGAGGGGCTTGGAAGGGGGAGGGGCTTGATTCCGTGATCCTGCTTTCAGGGATTGTTCCAAATTGGTGAAACATCTGTCAAGACTTCAAGCTACGGCACAAACTTGAAAGCTGAAAGAATTGATATTTCTAAAGCACAAGTGTTTTAAAAAGGATATAGGATCATGATTGACACATAGATGAAGCACGATGCATGGTGGCCTTCAACGCGTCAGGGGGCCCAGGGGCCCAATGGCTCAAGGGTTTGTCTTGCCGGCCGGATCCTACCGCGCCCGAGGCCGCAGCAAGTATGCGGCGATGCCCTCCATCACGGTGAGTTGAGTGATTTTCCTAAATTGAGGGGTTTGTGATTGAGCCCTTTTTGCTGGAAAGGAATGAGTCCGCTGATGGCAGGAACTTGGGTGAAGAAGGGTGTGGGTTGTGGGGGTGGGTTGTGGCATTGTTCAAGTCGACTTGAGGATGATGATACTTAAGGTGATTGACCACCCCCACAAATGAGGCCTCGCAATTACTGGAAAGCAAATTTTTTTTCTAGCACTCTGTAGGTATGGGCCATCACTGAAGCCGGCCAGGGTGAGGGGGGGCAAGGGTGGTGTACCTCGGGTACACCGCCCGACCTTTGCAGGCCAACAAGCTCGGCCTACCTCGGCGTCAGGGGGCCCAGGGGGCCCAAGAACATTAATAATAAAGTTCATACTATTCAATTACCCTGGGCTTGTTTACCACCCCCTTGAAAAATTGTTTGGAGTGACGAAATCGTTGAGTTTTAAAGAGCGTTTTTGAAAACGATTTCCAGGTTAAAGTTCCATGAATCAAGTAAACCTCAGAAGAGTTAAGTAAGGATTTGAAAGGGCAGCTGTAGCAGAACAATCGTTAGATTTTTCCGGTAGGGCTCCAAGTTTGCTTATTGATCCCACCCCCTAGACAATTCATACTATTAAATTACCCTGGGTTTGTGTACTAGCCAATAGAAAAATACATTGTTTGGAGCAAGGAATTCGTTGAGTTTTAATAGGCTTTTTCAAAACGGCTTTCAGGTTAGAATTCCATGAGTCAAGCAAACCTCAGAAGAGTTAAGTAGGGGTGGTACAGGGTGAGCAATAGCAGAACAATAGAAAAACAAACAAATCTCAACAAAAGGACACTAGGTGAAAACAAGCTCTGTATTATTCCGACCGACCCATTAGACCAATCTTTTTGTTATTCCGTCCCATTACACCCTTTAGGATTCAACATTGAGGTGATGGACTACGGCCTTGCAATTACAGGAACTGAGGCCTTCGCGCTTTGGGGGCGCGCCGGAGCCACACAGGCGCGAGGCGGCCACCGGCGGCGGCGGGCTGCGCCGCTGGATGGCCGAGGCCGGTGCCTGGCGCTTGCCACTCGGTGAAGGAGACCGGTGGATCGGTCCGTCGGAGGTGGCGGGCCTCCCGGTGGAGGTCGGTTCAGGAGGGACCGAGGACGGATCTCGAGAGGTCTGGGCTGGGTTGGATGGGTTGGAGGGGGCTTGGGATCTCTGCCTCATTTGTGGGGGTGGTCCATCACCTTAAGTATCATCACCTTCAAGTCGACTTGAACAATGCCACAACCCACCCCCACAACCCACACCCTTCTTCACCCAAGTTCCTGCCATCAGCGGACCCATTCCTTTCCAGCAAAAAGGGCTCAATCACAAACCCCTCAATCTAGGAAAATCACTCAACTCACCGTGATGGAGGGCATCGCCGCATACTTGCTGCGGCCTCGGGCGCGGTAGAATCCGGCCGGCAAGAAAAACCCTTGAGCCATTCCTGGGCCCCCTGACGCGTTGAAGGCCACCATGCATCGTGCTTCATCTATGTGTCAATCATGATCCTATATCCTTTTTAAAACACTTGTGCTTTAGACATTTCAATTCTTTCAGCTTTCAAGTTTGTGCCGTAGCTTGAAGTCTTGGCAGATGTTTCACCAATTTGGAAAAATCCCCTAACATGGCGCCAACATGGACCTAACATCGTCCAATATAGGCCTGATTTGGCTAAACATGGTTCTCTTGGCTCAAGATAGGCCTAAGAATAGGCTCAATAGGCTTAACATAAGCCCGGCATAGGCCCAAGATAGGCCCAACATAGCCTAACATGTGCCAAACTGAACCCAACGTATCCCAATAGGCTCCAGCAGAGCGGGGTTGTCTAGCATTCTGTAGGCATGGGCCATCACTGAAAGGGGGGGGCAAGGGGTACACCGCCCGAAGAAAGTGAACAAACATTTGCAGAAAGGATTGGGTAGACATTGGAGGGAAAGGAGGAGAAACTACCGTGAGAAAACAAGTTGAACTGACAGGAAGTGTGTGGAAGAGAGAGAGAGAGAGAGAGAGGGTGGTTGTAAAACAATGGAACTTCAACTCCTGCACCAGCTTTGTCAAGGTTTTTGCTGTATTGAACCCATTGGTATTGGGACAACAGGTTTGGAAGAAGGGGGTTGGGAAGATGAAACTGGAAGAGGTGAAGAACAATTAGGGAAGTTTCATATTTCAATTTCTAGGCGCAGCTTCCCTGAACAGTTTTTGGCAACCAATGCTTTGAAACAACAATTTGAACACAATATTGGAGCTCAGGGCAAGGGAACTGGGGGCAGGGAACTGGGGGTCTTCTGGAAGGTGAGGCTTGGGGAAGGGGGGTTTTAAAGGTCAATTCTATTTTGCTTTGCTGGGCCCTGCTCCAAAAATCTCACAGCTCCAACATTTGTTTTGGTTTCGCGTGTCTTCTGGAGGGTGGGGCTTGGGGACGGGGGTTTTTAAAGGTCAATTCTATTTTGCTTTGCTGGCCTGGCTGCTTTTGCTTTGCTTGCTGTGTTGGTGATTGGGCTTTGCTATCAAAAACACTCAGCTCTTTTGGCATTGTTTTTTTGGGCCCCTTCTGGGCAGTGGGGTCCTGGCACAGCTCTTGCAAAGCAGTTCCTCTGTATAGATCCTGTGGAGCATTGACCTTGGATCTGGGTGGCCATTTTGGCTCTCACCCCTGAACTTGTGCCAGAGCTTGGTGTGACTTTCGCGCGCAGGGGCCTCAGGGTGAGATGCAGCCACCGACACTTTTGACCTCAGTTTTTAGCCACTAGCGCGTAGCTCCAGGCAGTGTTCAGGGCGCAACTTTTTCCAAGCCTGTCAGGACTTTGCTTTGGCTTTCTTCTGAGCATCCCGGCAAGGGAGGTGGGAATGGCGCAGACAGACAGACAGACCAGACCAGACCAGACCAGACCAGACCAGACCAGACAGACCAGACCAGACAGA